GGGGCCGCGGCTCGGGGTGCGAAGCCCCGCTTTGTTTCGCAGGGCTCACGGCACAGCGGGCGCGTGGCTCTTGTGCCAGTACTGTAAATTCGGAAGTGAGCGTGAGGGAGGGAAAAAAAGCCCCGTGAGTGGAACAAAGTGCATAACTGGTCTCTTCTACGCCTTTTTAAAAAATAACACAAAAAGCCTGGGGCTCTTCCACGGGATCGGAGTTAACTTCAGACAACCCTTCTGCAGGCACCGGGAGGAACTTGCAAGGGAAAGTGGTTATGCCCAGGGCGTCCGGCTCAGTCCTGCCCCTCTGAAACATCCAGATAACAGCTTTGGCGCCTTTGCAAGCTCCCGCTTCACTCTTCATCCATTCTGCTGCTCTGATGTTCCCCATCCCTGTCCCACCTGAGAAAATACCTTCCCTTTAATGAATATTCTCAGTTCCTTTTCCTGTGATTGAAAACCTCAACTTCCTGACTCTGGAAAAAGGGAACAAGCAAAGTTTACTGTCTAACTGCTCTCATCTTCATATTAATCTGTTTGATAACAAGCAAGTGGTTGGGAAGGGCATAAAAGGGAACAGGAAACAAGTGATGCAGTGGATAAAGTCTGGGCGAGCATGGTGGATTCCCACGTTGTCCAGAGAGACAGGCTGAAAAGGTAGCTTCACTTTCCTTAGCATCTTTTGCAATAAATGTGTATAATTTTGATAGACCATGAGTAAAATAAATTCTACTATTTAATAAAGCAATCACATCCCAGTAGGAAAAGCTGCTGAGGTGTGTGCACCTGAGCTGGCTGCAGGTTAAAGTCAGGCTGCCTCGCTGGGGCTGCTCGAACTGCGTGGGACGTGTATTTCAGTGCTGGGGATCGCGCAGCGAGGATGCGGACAGCATTGCCCTGCCCGGTGCCACAGCAGCACCTCCAGTACAAGGAGTTACTCTGCGCCCTTGGCAGGGCTCGGGTGCCCCGGCAGCGCTGTACGTCAGTGCCGTCTCCTGTGCGGTATTTCCTGAGAGCGCTCTGTGACCGTTAGCGAGCGAGGCACCCGAAGTTCCTCAAAACACCGGTTAAGGTCACTGCGATGCCTGCTAGAGAGGTGGTAGCCAGTCCACTCTGCCTGTCCGGGCACTGTGTCAGTCTGTAAGCTGCAGGCTGACCTTATCAAACTCCAGGAACAAGGCCTATTAGGCCTTATCTTGGGACTTTCAAAAGATAAGGATGATCAGGCTTTTCCGTGTTTGGAGGTTTTTTGGGGAGAGGATCATTTTGGCTGGGAATGGGGTTGCTGCCTGCTCTCATCCCTGGTATCTTTTTGTCAACCAGGCCTGGCACAAAGACGGGGGCAGCTACAGATGTGAGATCCAGTACATGCCTTGGGTTTTTGCATGCTCATTAGCACTGCTGGGGCCTCAGTCTGTTACAAGCCATGCTGCCGTAGTCACATGTTTTATTACCATCAATTAGGGTAATAGCAAATAATTAACAAATAATCACAGGAACCTTCTCCTACTGTAAGTTGTGCCCCACTTTTCTCCCCATGATAGACAGCTGCAAGGATTTTTAAACCTCCTCCTTTCTGGCTACATTTTGGTGGTTTGTTTGTTGGGGTTCTTTAACCAGAGAAAGCAAAACCAGCTGCCAAGGCCTCAAACTAGAGGCACACAGGAACGCAGCCCAGCCATTTGCTTTTATTTCCTGCAGCTGAGCTCTGTCCTTATAATACCAGCAGATGAGGGAGCTAATGATGGTTGAGGATTAGGTGTCTTCTCTGTTTTCCTGTCCTGGCTTCTGGAAGAGATGGCACCTCCTTATCTTCTGCACAGTTCCTGCTCTTTTGGGAAGTCCTTTGTCATCAGGATTCAGAGGCAAAGGGTTTAGGGAGGTGAGGCAGAGAAAAAAGTTAAATCCTTTCTTCTCTGTGGGCCAGCTTGCTGAATTATTGTGGGAGGTAACCTTGGCAAGTTCTGTCATCTGGTTCATATTTGATCCTCCTCTCTCAGAGTTATGTCACTGTGAACTAAATTAAGACTGAGCACTGTATATTGAATTCTCATTTATCTTTTGTCCTTTAGCTGTAGCTACCTTCAGAGCTTTAGCAGAGCTAGCCTGTAGTTGGGCGCTTTTTGAGCGCAGGAATCAGCTTTAATGTGGGTGTTTGTATGAGAAACATAGGACAAACTTTTGATCAGTTCTCATTTCAACTTTAGATTGTGACTCCCCTTTGAAAGCAATAACTTCAAGATGAGTTACAGGACAGGGTGTGGCTTATTTGCATATTGCTCTCTGCTTAGGCTCACCTTGAGTTTGTGCAGTAACGCGCTGATCACTATCACCCTGCAATTATTCCTTATTGCCATTTTGCTACCACACATGTCAGTTAAACGAGATCAGAGAGCACCAGCGATTGCCCCACTTCTGTCTGAAAAAGTGGCTGGGGGAACCGGTGCTATTCACACGTAAGTAGTATTAAATACAAATGCTCATATTCTAGCTGTTGTTAATACAGTCACAGGGAATATTAATTGCACATATCTCCACAGATCACTTCCTTATTGCATTCTCTAAATCTTTATTATTATATCATGTTATTGCCTCATGGATATGGTTTTGGTTTGGAGCAGTGTGCAGCCCTGCAGCTGGGTGCCTGCTACTTGGGTTAAGTGTTAGGGGTTCATTGCTTCACAGCTGTGGTGAGGAGAGCAGGGGAGAGATGGCTTTCATGCAAAGAAAGAGGGTGAATGGGTGGTGTTTCGCCACAGGCTTCCTTTCAGGATTTGGGATTCTGTTTTCAGATCTATCACAAGCCTGTTGTGTCATACCAGATGGAGTATCACATCTTCTCTCTCAATTTATCTGTCAGTCAAAAGATGATAATAATAATGTAGGAGAGAACCGTAGAATTTGATAAGTTGTTCCTGTTAAGACTGCAGTGTTTTAGAAGGAAACCCTAACCTGTAGTCACATTCCTGCATGCTAAAATACAGCATGGAAAGTACCGCATAGAGTGGGAGTAGGTGGGGAACAGGCAACAGAGAGTCACTCTGCAGTTAAAGAGCTGCTGTACAGTCCGAGCAGGTGACGTACTGTCATTTGGATGTTTTCTGTGCTGCTCTTGTAATGCCTATGAGCTGGTAGATCGCTAACTTTTGAAATGTTTCTGTTCTGCTTTGGCGGCTGATACTTGAAAGAAAGGGTTACTGTTCTAGCTTGGGTCTCGTGGCAGCACAAATTGTTACAGGCCAGCAGTTGACTAAATTTAGGATTTCACAGTAGTTGGGAGCTGGTTGTGTTTCTACCCAGGAGTCTTGTCACCTCATTTATGCCACTTGACCCAGCAGAAGCTCCACTGAAATTGCTGGGTTTGGACTGTGGTCGGGTTAAGTGTGCAGACAGGTACACGGCCACTTTGACTTGCAGCTGGAATTGTGCCTCCGAAGCACTGGCTGGCCCTGGCTGCAGGGCTGTAAGCTGCTCCTGTGCTGTGTCGCTGGGTGCTGGAGGTGCCTGCGCATTTCACTGTCTGATGATATTGTATTGCTGTCTTTCTGCACACAGGCTGAAGGGAAGGCAGTGCTGATAACCGGCTGTGACAAAGGTTTTGGACATGCCTTGGCAAAACGGCTTCACGCACAGGGATTTACTGTTTTTGCTGGATGCTTGCTTGTGGTGAGTAGCAGTATTGATCAAACTTCCTCTCTGATTGGAGAAAAAATGCTTCTCAAGTGACAGCATCTTCATCTGCAGCCTCCCTTTACTGTAGCCAAAGACCTGAGGGAAGTGCAGTGGGCAGGGTTCGTTACATCTTCCATTGCTTCATCTGCCTGTTGCATCTTGTCATTCCTGTAATTCCAAGCTCTTCAGGGCAGGGACCGTCTGTCAACTGCGTGTCTGTACAGTAGCTTGCACAGCAGGTCACTGTTCACTGCTGGAAGCCTCTCAGCTATACCGCAACACACTCAATAAATCTGATAGTCCAAGATTGCCGTGGCACTGTGGCTCTCTGTCCTCACTGGCATCTCTATTGCTGTCTTTCATTCTGTCACTTCAGCAACACTCTCCTCAAACTTGTCTCCAAGCCGCCTCTCCTGCTTTGTCCAGGTTCTGTTTCCAGAGTGTCTTCTAAGTGTGCTTCTGCAGAAGCTATTTAGTTTCTGGATACCTGAATAAACAAATTTTCCATACCTTTCTGATATCTGTAGGTCTCGCCCTCTGTCACCTGTGCTTGGCAGATGGCATTGCTTGTTATAAAAGATCAGTTTAGGCACGCTGAATCAGAAGGGGTTGCAGACCCATTGTCCCAGTCCTTGCTCTTGCAGATAACCATGTTGTGTAATCCTCTTTATATACTGGGCCAGCTCTGCTTCCATCTCTGCTGGAGTTTTACCCTTGCTATGCTTTTTTTGCTGTTTTGATAGTCAAAACTCCTGTAATTTCCGACCTGAATTGTTCAAAATCAGTTCGTACCCACTTGTTTCTCTGTTTGAAGATGGCCATTTCAGCACAGGTGCTCAGGGAGTGATGACCACAGATTTTTGAGTAGTGTGGAGGGCAAGAACAAGCAAAAAAAGGTGGCCCTCATTGCCTGTGTGATCTCAGCGGAGGTTACGTTCTTCCACCACACCAGAAGGGAAAGTTATTATCAGCTGACATGTTGTGTAACTTGAGAGCAAGAGAGTCCTGTTGGAAAATTGCCACTATTTGGAAATTTCCATGTGGAGGCTCTGTAAATCCTTCAGTAATCATGTCATACGCTGCTTTGGGATGCCTGTCTCTGTGGTGATAACAAGTCAGGCGCTCACTTTGCAGAGCAGCAGGGGTAGGGAGGGCCAGGCTCCATTTGAAGCCACATAAATAAATGCTCCTGAAGTGAGCCCTGCTTGCTTGTCTTACTGATGGAAAAAAGCTTATTACTTCTTGATCACAGATTATTACCTGTCCCAGAATGGCTGGGCAACTCTCAGCATCCCCTCTGATCTGGCCTGGCAACTTGTTACCTGGAGCCAAGTTTTTTGTGGTTCTGTACTTATATTCTGTGTGGAAGTGGAAAATGCATCAGCAATCATAGTTGATCTGCAGGTGACTTTCAGGAGATTAACTGAGCACTTGACCCTGAAGGGGTAGAGAGTGGGAGAATGTGATTTTTCTTGTTCCGTGTGTTACTAAATTTTCAGTAGACCTGGACTCAGAGCCCCAGGATTTCACTTGTGGGTTTTTTTTTCCCCTGGGTTGTTAGTGTTGTCTTATCTGCTGTTAGGTGCAACTGAAGGACAGGGTCTGGTGGTAACAGTTATCTGGATAGCTGTTGCAAAAATATTACAGCTAAACGCTTTCTACAGTTCTTGGGACAGCCAGCATCCTTGTGGAGCACCCTTGTGTTTTGGATGGTTGATGGACATATCAGCCTAGGAATTTAAGATTTGATGAGCAGGAGCTTACTGAAAACCTAATGGTAGAATGCACATGGGATGAAAGTGTTTGTAAATCTAGAGCTGACTGCTCCGAGAAAAGGAAACTTATAATGACTGCAGGGAAGGATGATGGATCCGAAAGAAGCAGGAAACATCAGTGAAGGCAGGGAGCTGTTAGGTCAGATCCGTCGTGAAGACCAAGCTGCAAGCATATGAGAGATCATTGCTGGTAAGTGAAGGAGTGCACGTGCAGTGTGGCTGAGGGTGCAGCTCCCCTACGGTAACTGGCCGTGTGCATGTAACTGCTCATGACAAACGCAAGGAAACTTTCCCTGTCATGAGAGAAGAGTGCGCTGCTGTAGGTTCACTGCAGGGTCAGAGCAGGTATGGGGGCAGTTGTGGTAGAGCAAATGCCAGGCTATTAGTTCACACATAGTTACTCCATCATCACTTACTTGCATGCTTTTGTGCTGGGAATGAAAGGATCCCTGATGTACTAGCCACCACAGAAAGCTCTTGCATTGGATATGAGATGGTACACTTCCAGGTGCATCAGGAGGTTTTTAATGATCAGACAGTCAAAAATAAAGCTATAGGAATAACAGGAATACTGCGAGAAGGCTGGGATAGAACTGGAGGGGATCAAGTGCAAAAGGGTTTTCATTTAGCAAGGACAAGTAAGTCCACAGAGAAAGCTTCTGTTAATACATTAGGATTAAGATGGAAAAACACACAGAAATTGATTACAAAATAACCTGAAAAGTAGAAGGTACAGAAAAAGTTGAAATAATCATTGTCTTATTTTCTTTGATCTTACTGGAAAAAAAAAAAGGTAAATTGCTGTCAGATGCCTACTGCTAGCAGTTTTCATGAGGACTGCAGGCAAGAAAAGGGAAAGAACAGGGAATGTTTACATAAGTGGATGTGTTCAAGTTCACCAGGCCTGACAAAATGTACCGAAGAGCGTTTAAAGGATGAGCCATTGTGATTTCTGCCCCAAGGGTGATATTTTCAGAGCACCTGGAGGCCAGGGGATTTCCAGAAGGCTGGAAGAGGACAAATATTATACTTTCCTTCCCAAAGGAGACAGACCTCTGGAACTGCCAACCAGGCAGCTCACCTTTGGTGTGCTAGATGAAGTTACCACACACTGATCTGTCAATTTTACAAATGTCTGGACCATAGTGGGATACGCACTGCCTGTGTAAGGGAACAGACACTGGGAACAGACTGTGCCATGTCAGTCTAGTCTCAGCCTAGCTAAGCAGCAGAGTGGCTAAAGGGGAAGGAATAAATGTATCCTGAATAAGGGTTTTGACACAGTCCCTCAGGATAGTCGCATGAGCAAACTTACGCTCTAAGCTCATGACTGCTGTTCAGTCCCAGTGAAGTTTTCTTGGAAGTGCCCCCTGGAATAGAGCCCACTTGGGAAAAAATTGTGCATGGTGTCAAGCAGGGAGGATTGTAGGCCCTGTGGGGAATAGGATTAAAAATTATTCTGATAGATTGGATGGAGTTTGAAATCAGTTAGGTGGAATGACAAATACGAGGTGTGGTGCCTAGGGAGCAGTGGATAGGCAGCAGTGGCGGGGGGGGAACTGGCGCAGACGGAGTGAGCCAGCTGCATCTGTGGGTGTTCAGCATCGTGTTTGGGGCTTCCTGATTCCCACTGACACCTCGCTGCAGGTGCCCAAGTGCTTGCCAGGACCTAATCCCGAATCCCACGAGCTTCCCTGAGAAAAGGCCGTGCCTCCATGGGTTACAGGAGGGCTCTCAGCTAAGCAGGCCATGGTGTGATCTGCCTGTCCCTCAGCACCAGCCGCATTGGGATCCTCCAAAGCAGAGCAGGGGAGAGGGGTGAGTGAGGGGAAGGGGAGGCCGCCGACAGCGGGAGCAAGGCTGCTCTGCTGGGTGGAGAGGGCTTGAGTGGCTGCCGGGCTCCCTGCCCAGGCACAGCCCCTGCGAGGCAGAGGGTGGGGTGGGGTGGGGTGGGCAGAGCCGTGCTGGGCTGCGGGGGCAGGATAACCGGGGGAAATGAGATAGCTGGGAGGAAATGGCAAAGTCCCACTGAAAGCCTCTCTGGAGAGTACTTGGGCAGCAAGCTGGGCTGGAGCAGGGCAGCTTTCAACACTGATGGAACTGGGAAGAGGAAGCTGGGAGATTCTCTGAGAGGATGAAAATCAGACCAAAAAAAAATGACGGCAAAGGGAGGGGGAGAGAGGTTTTGCAGGAGCAGTTGGGCCATTGCTGCCAGGACCCCACTTGACTCGCACTGCTGTGTGGCTCCTGCTGGTGAGTCCCAAGGCCACGAAGGCCATCCCAGGGAGGACAGCCTGGCTGCTGCCACAGGAACTGCTCCAGCTATTTTCCCAGTCAGAAAATCCACCATTTAAAAAGCAAGGAGGAAGTACCATGTGGGTATTGAAACAGGGAATGTGGTTACAGCCCCTGAAGACCATAGAACATAGGATGATGTTCACTTCGTCCCATAAAAATACATGGCTGCTTCATTTGTGAAGAGGTTTTCTGGACATAAGAGTTAAGCAATTTTACAGTTAAATAGTAGCTGAGGTGGTGTCTACAACTACGAAAAGTGGTTCCAATTGATACTGCATTTTGAAGTCAGTCTTCCAAAATCAATATGTTTTGTCAACAATGAGTAAATTGTAGCTGGGAACATAACTTTGCAGACTGAGTTGCATTGGTGATGGGGGAAAATTAATTTCAGTATGATTAATACAAGCTATTTATACTGGATATTGAAGTTGCTGGCCTGTGACTTTGTTTCTCAAAAACCCGTGGAAGTATTTCTTGTTTGGTTTATAAGGATTATGAAAGATTAAAAAACATGCAGGGAAACATGC